AATAAGGTATACAGAACATACATAATCACAATTGAAAATAACATTAAGAAATGAATATAGATAGAAACACATCAATATATATATAGACAAACAAACAGATGTAATTCATAATAATAATCAATAGCCAAATAAATAATACACAATAATTACTAGCATACAACAATTATATATAACACAAAAAAAGAACAAAATTATATATTCGACAAACAATATGATAAATTAGAAATATTAGTAATAGTCGTAATATAAACAAGATACAACAACAATAATAATCACTATATAATATCAATTTAGACATAGTAGTATATTGTGTAGTAGTCAAAAATCATATAAATACAATCAGCGTAATATACGTAAATAAAATATATAATACATAAAACATGAACTATGAAAGATAAAATAGATTTGTAAACAAATGAAAACATACAATATAACAATGTATGTGATACATAAGATAATATAGTAAATAATATAGAATTCAATACAATCAAACGATACATAAGTCAAGTCAAAGAAAATATAGCGTAAAAATAATAACATATAAAATAATAACCGGCACGGAGAAAGAGAGGCTATACAAAGAGAGGATAATCGTGAAGCGATGGGACAAGAGCCGTGAAAAACTCTGGAGTCAAAGAATGATAAGATAGGGATGAAACGAAATCTATCAAAAAGAGAATAAGGGCTCAAGATAGTCTCACGGATGAAATCATGATATGTATCTAAATTGTCTACCATATTCTTACTAGTGAGTACTCGGGACCGTGACCTGCATGGGCCACCAAAAAAACCTGTCACGCCCCGCTTCCCAAAATACACGGGAACCGGAACGTGAACAAGCCCGCGACGTATTAGACTGAGAAGAGATAAGTGCTAGACCCCGTCTTCTCAATCTAATATGCTAAGCGTCTGGAAATAAGTACAATGCAAAGTCACAGGTCCCCGATCACAGATAGCAAGAATATAATGAACATCACAGAATGAAATAATACATATCATAAATGAATATCATCCCAGACATAATATTCGGGTCAAACATGCCCTTATACATATCTGAACAAGTGAATACTGAAGAGGTGCAAAGATACATCGAACCACAAAAATAGAAAGAACTACAAAAGTAAGCTAAGACCATCGAACAACTGGAGGGACCAATAACTAAACTTTGGTTTCTTCTTCTGCTCCATCCGCTAGGCACTCCTGCTGAGAATCCTTTGGCTCCTGATGATTTCCCAGCTGAACCTGTTCTTCTCCTAAGTCTGACGTACACCAGAGAAAACAGGTGTACGTCAGGTGCATGAAGCACGGCAAGACCCGACTCCACAAAGAAATAGAACAAACGGAAATCCAATGCGAAAAACGATACGATAACAGAAACAACAAAAGAACGTACAACTGAAATCCACAAATCAACATGAAAACAGTACTAAATCATGATAACATAAAGCATCCAAAATCGATCAGGTAACGAGATCATGTAGCTAACGATCAGAAACAATCGTACAAGTCACAATGGCATACACTAGATGAAATTAATACTCAAAAATCTACAACAAGAGACGTAGTACGTCGAGCGAAATAATCCAAACAAGGAAACCCTCATGTATATACCATATGTCTCGAATTGTAAATAATTAAATATCAATCCCGATCTATGTATGAAAAGAACAACACTGGTCTACATCTCAACAAAACTAACAAAGTCCATCATAAAGCACGCAAGTATGTTATTCTTGTTTTACATGTTATTTGAATTGGGGAAGAATATTTTGATGTATATAATCGGGTCCCCGTAAAGTCGTCCGGGGGCCGCCTTCAAGTCAAGTATTGGCCCTCTGGCCCATGTACATAACACTCACGATATCACGATAACAAGAAAGCGCTGTGCCCATTTATATACATGCTATATTCTCCGTCCAATCCCCCTTTATAACCCCATGTTTGTCATATTAATTAAGCAACTGTACATGAAATATTATGCACTAGCCACGGAGTTACCGTGGAACGACTTCTGTAAAACTATGAACATAACCGTGACTCGTAACACGTCCGATCAAGAGTGCATCGTCTAGTCAATGCTATAATAATAATAATAATCAAGGAAACCTCATACCGGGATATCGATATCGAGGGAACTCGGGACTCCTCACATCGGGATATCGATGTCGAGCGAGTATAGCCATGCTTTGAAGCACGCTTATAAATCATACTTTTAACAGAAGTCGTCTTCATGTACAGTCTCTCCTATTGGATAACAACTAAGTGATAAAACAACAAGCTTTCACACAGCTATTCATGTCAAGCAATCCCACGCATGTAATAATATATCACAGACTAATCTAATTAACCAATTACTAACAGATATAAATATTGAAATGACAAGTCAATAAGTAATGGGATCTTGCCTACGAGACCAAGGGGTCTGATGACGAGCGGTGGGGCCGATGCAGACGCGGTACAACAGATCTGAACGGTCGAGAGCATGGTTGGGCGAAGGTCGACGATGGCAACGGGTTTAGGACAGTGGCACGGCAACAGCGAGCGGGGAAGCTTGGGTTGGCAGTCACATATAGATTTACGATAAACTAATAATTAAAATGAAATAATCAAGGTTCGGGATCTGCCTCGGGTTTCGTCGAACGAATCGACCGCTGAAGGCGTCGTGGTGCACGGCGGCGAGGAGGGCTCAACTACAACAACGACGCGGTGGTCGAGGCCTAGGACTGGTCAGGGATGAGGTGGCCGGATCTGGGCAGGGGTTCGTCGCGTGGCGGCGACAGGAGAGGGAGAGGGGACTGTCGGGTTTGGAATAGATGGCCGGGCGGAGAGGGCTGGTGGCTGTCAGTTAGAGGAGCGGGAGAGGGGGCTGGAGGTGGTGAAGAGGACCGGTGCTTGGCGGCGGCAGGTGAGGGAAGACGAGCGGAGAGGAGAGAGAAGGGTGGCGGTGTGGGGCGGCGTTCGTGTCGGTTCCGACGAGGTGGAGGTCAGCGCGCTGAGGGGTGGAGGCTTGCGTCGGGGGTGGCTGCAGAGGCGTTGGGGTTGGGTGCTGGAGAGGTGGCCGGCGGGCTGAGGCGGAGGTGCCGGGTATTTAAAAATTAAACTAATTACATAATATTTATCTACAAATAAAAACGTATTTATTGTGCTAATACAACAGTTGATACGAAACAGTCGAAATATACCCATATTGTATAATTAAACGAGAATAATTAATAATAAAAATATTTCTACTTAAATTTAAAATTAAATAATTATGTGACAATTACGTACACAGTAAAACGTACTAGTTATACTAATATGATAGATAATATGTAACAATAGAAATAATACAATAAATTATACCAAAAACATGTAATTAATAATACCATGTATTATATGAAATAATTTGTAATAATATTAATAATACAATATATTATTTAAAATAATACGTAATAGTACTGATAACATAACAAATTAATTCTAGAAAATTTTACTGCACGAAATAAATTTATAAATACTAAAACCATTTGAATAAATATATAATCAGATTTTTAAATCATAAAAAATTATAGAAAATCGAGAAAAATACAAATACTCGTTTATAAATAATAATTAAATATTTTAAAATACTAAAAATTATTTTAACTAGTATTAAAATTCATGGTCATTACAGTTTTTTCAATTTTCAAATTATTTTCCAAATTCCTTTTTTTATAGTTTTAGCGACGGAATTCCCGTCACTAAATAAATATTTAGCGACGGAAATTCCATCACTAAATTAATATTTTGCGACGGAAAACGTGCACAAAATCATATATGACGAATTTTAAAAAAACATTAGCGACGGAAATTCCGTCGCTAACATTCATTACCGACGGATTATCCGTCGCTAAAGATTTATTAGCGACGGATTTTCCGTCGCAAATGTTTTTTTAATTTTTTTTTTTAAAACAGCGACCATTGTTCCGTCGCTAATATTTAGCGACGGAATTTTCGTCGCTAAATGTATTTTTAGGGACTCCTGTAATAGCGTCGAACTTTTAGCGACGGAAATTTATTTTTTCCGTCGCTAAAAGTTTTAGCGACGGAATTTTGACTTATAGCGACGGATTTGTCCGTCGCTAAAAGTAAAAAATCCAGTAGTGTTTAGAGGAAGGTTATTTGAAATCTACCCAAAAGAATTACTAAGCATCTAGTCTATCTTTCCTCTAACTTTTTCCCCCTGTTTTTCTATTAACTATGACTTCATCAATCTTACTCATTAATGTACCCGTTATATTTACTTATTCTGGTGGTTGCTTAAGTAACAAAAATATCGTATTTTCCAGCCCTTTTTCTTTTTTAAGGATAGGGATAGAAAAATCTCACCGTACACATTTATTTATTTATTTATTTTTGGGAGGAATATTACTCTCACTAGTACAAAACAGGGCAGCCCAAACGGTTGGAACCGTTTGGGAAAACCCCCTCCCAAACGGTTCCAACCGTTTGGGAAAGAGAAAAAACTCGTTTGGGCTAAAGCCATTAGGGATGAGTTTTTCCCAACGGTTGCCCAAACGGTTATAACTGTTTGCGCTGTTGCCCAAACGGTTACAACCGTATGGACGTTATCCCAAATGGGCGAAACCGTTTGGGACAACAATCTATGCCAAACGATCGTAACCGTTTTTGGGCGGCAAAAACTTAGCAACGGTTGGAAACCGTTTGGCCAACAGTTACGCCAAACGGTTCCAACCGTTTAGCTAAGTTTTTGGCCAAACGGTTACGACGTTTGGCATAGATTGTTGTCCCAAACGGTTTCGCCCGTTTGGGCAAGTATCTGACCAAACAGTTACAACCGTTTGGCCTATTAATTTTAATTATTTTTTTCATTTCAGTATTTTATTTATTTACCTACTTACATTTAAAATACACATTTACACAATGATACTCAATATCTCACAATGAAATAAAAAACATATACATACCCAAAAATATCTCAAACGGTGCTAAATATTTAATATTATATATAAATACACAATAATTACTCAAAATGTAATATTAGAGATACATGCACAATGATTACTCAATATCTCACAATGAAAAGTATTCAATATTATATATTTGTCTCTAATATCCAAAATGTCTCATACATCCAAAATATAAGATAGGAATAGTCTAATTCATCCAGTCAAGGAACAAAAGAAATTCCTCGAAGAATATCCTCTTGGGACAAGCCCGAACGCCTTAAGTCTGCAAATATCCTAGCAATATTCTCATGTGACAGACCTTGAGCACTAGAAGTAGAAGTGTTAGCGTTTGAAGCAGGACGAGCAGAATGTGGTATATCGGTAGCGGGCTGAGGAATTGGAGCCGGACGAGTAAAAGCTGGTGGATCACTACGAGTGGGAGCAGGACGAGCGACCTGAGAATTAACCTATAAAGTAATAGCAATGTATGAGTGTATACATGTCTGAGTGTTAAGTCTATGTGTATGTTTACGCGTATAAGTATAAGATGTATGTATATTTGTGTATGCCAATGTACATATGTATGCGATTGTGTGAATATTAGCATATGTACCATATTGTTAGTAATCAACTGCATCTGAGACCTAAACTCCTCCCTAAGCTCCTCCCTAAGCTGCTCCCTGAGACTATCCATCTCAGCTACCCGAGCTCTAAGATCAGCCACCTCGCGACGTAGCTCCTGATTAGAAGTGCCGATTTCCGGTATGGAGGACGCCCTCAAGTAAGTCTGAGTGGCACCAATGCCCATGGCTCTTTCATAACCACCGTGATGCCCTCCGTGCATGGAATCTAACATCTGGGTGAAACAAAGTGCATCGTCCTCTGTGGCTGAATCGACCCCTGATAAGGTTGCCTCCTGGATGACTCGATTCTACACAATATAAAGTATTCAACTTTAAGTCGACAATGCAGAAGTAGATATATTTAAGAAAAAAATAAAAACAAAATAGAAGTATGATTATAGCATAAAAGCAATTCAATCCTTGATATGGATTAAAGCAGTTGAAGTGTAGATGATTGACTAAAGGCAGAATAAAGAAAAAAAATGTTTTTATGACATTCTTTTCCTTTTGCATTCTTGTTTCTAATAATGCAAATTGTAATCCAGTCTGCTACATTACGAAACATAGTGTAAGCTACATTCAAAACTCATTTTGGACACCGTAAAACTTGTTCATGGAGGTATAAGAAGCTAGCTTTGATATCAGCTGCAAATTTATTGTAAATAACGTAAAAAACTGAACGTTCATTTCAAGATGAAATTAGCTGCCGACACTGAAAGACCTCATAATTCATTATGGCATCAATTTCATAATGTTAACAGCTACAACCCTCTCTTTGAAGGAGAATCTTACACCTAAGCAGTGGCGGATCCACAACCTCTCGTGTGGTGGTTCGAAATTAACGCTAATTTTTTTTTCAAATACTACTAAGGAAAGCATAAAAATAATAAACAAATAATAATAAAGAGAAAATAGGAGAAAGTAGAAATGTAAAGAGAAAATAAGGATTATAGGAGAAATTAGAAACATAAAGAGGCTGTAGGAGGTTTTGAACCTTTGTCCTCTTTGAAGGTAAGCTAATGCTTATACCACTAGGCTACAAATTACATTTGTTCAGAAACTAACATATATGATATATATACTATTTCAAAATCTGAGGTGGTTCAAATGAACCACTTTGAACAAGAACAGGTCCGCCACTGCACCTAAGAGTGTTTATTTCATAGTAATGAGATAGAAAAAAAAAGTGTAGGTTTACTTGAAGAAGCAGGTATCAAAATGCACGCTGCATTAACATGAAGCTGATGAAGGTATCAAAATATGGAAAGCGCATTAACTACCTAGAATCATGAATAGGAAAAGTAACTACACTAGTACAAAATATGGAAAGCGCATTAACAAAATAGCGCATTAAAACCGTTTGGAATTATTATCCCAAACAGTTTAAACTGTTTGGGCTATCTTGATTTGCCCAAACGGTTCTAATAACCGTTTAGACTGCCCTATTTTGTACTAGTGTCTAAAAACTTTCAACTCTCTCCACCAGAATTCAGGTGCTTTTGTGAAAAAGTCAAGCCAATATGGGGGAGTGGAAGACAATTCCATATTTGACCCTGGAAGCGGTCGGAGATTAAAACTAGTTTTCTCTTTAATCTATTCAGAAGGGAAAGGCCACAACCAATTCAAAGCTGAACATAGCTTGCTAACAAAGTTTCAAATATAGTGGCCTATTGAACTTTCGCATTAATTAATCAGTTGAAGCGGTAGCTTGTGACCCACACCATGTTTTGAGGCTTTCTTCGAAAGTAGCAGTCGGCGCACGTGAGCACTTGGTTTCACATGTTTGTTGTTTTTATTCAGAAATGTTAAAGAAAATAACACTATTGTTTTTTTTAGCTTATTATAAATTTATAATTCATATTCTTTAAATCATGGTGAATTTTAATTTAACCTTATCAAGAGGGTCTAACAGAAATGATAAGTTACCTATGAGTAGTAGTACAAAGTCTCAGGCTCGTCTCTCTCAGGAAGCACCTACCTGAAATTAATTCCCTCAAAGCTGTCATGAGTGTCAAACATTGTGTTTTTCGTATTTTTTGTATCGACCAAATCTAGATCACGTTAGGATTACCCTCATGCGAGTGGGCAGGTCTGCTCCAAGGGTGCAATTCTAAAATTACTCTCCTACTATGAATCTACCCACTCGAATGTCCGCTAGCCTAAGAAAATCCGTACTCAACGGAATATCTTCGCTCCACGTCCTCCTATCTTCTTCATATCGTTTATTAGGGTTTTTAATATTAATCCCTTACATCTAAAATATTATGAAATTATCCCTTTAAATCATTAATGTTGTCACCAGATTCATCATTTCTTATATCTTGTTATTGCTACTATTAACCAGAGAAACTAATTCAAAAAAAAAACTCACAAAATTGGGGAACCTAACGTCAATTTCAATTATACAAAGGATTGGGGAACTTAGTTGGGATCCAATAATTAGAGATATTGTGTCCGAAATATTAAAGATAATATTAAAAAAAAAAGAGCCCAAACAAGTCCGAAGGGCTCCACCGTTACTCTCCCCCTTCTAGAAACAGAAAATCGTTGAAAAGTTCCAAAATTACAATATCACTCCCTTAAAATATATTTATAGAT